AATTTTTAGAAAAAGAGAAAAGAGTAAAAAATCATTGTTCACATAATAAACTTGGTTAAAATAAATAAATACACATCTAAAAATGTCTCAAAAAGATAGTGTTCACTTGTTTGAGTCAGCTATAGCTGAAAACTCAAGCAATAACAACAAACAAATAGAAGTTGAGCGGCCTTCTACGCCAACAAACTCACTGGAAAGAAACTACTTTAACTTACGTAAAAAAAATAGAACACCTCCAACTCCTGCAAAAAGACCAAACACTAACAAAAAACATACTATAGCATTCAACATTAAAATAAATAAAAAAGAAAAATTCAACAAACAACTCGCTATTCAAAAAAAAACAATGCAAAACTTTTCTATTTCACCAACTATATTTTCATTACTATACACCTCATTTTTCAACATGGAAAAACTAAAAAAAACTATCAATAATAAAGCTAACATACTCAATTTCAATAATATCAATCAAAAAAACCAAAAAAATTCAGAAATACAACAAGAAAAAATTAAAAAAATGCTCCTTTCATCTCTAAGTCTAATGAAGAAAAAAATTTTTTCGCCATTACTGCGCCACAGATGGATAAAGGCGCAGCAAAAGATCTGCAAAAAAATAAATCAAAAATGGACTGGTCACAAAACACATTCGATGATCAAAGCAACAACGAATCTGATATTAATAATGTAGAAATAATAACAGATAATGAAGATACTGATCAAGATAAAAAGGAATGGAATATAATCGCAAGTAACACTCGCCATGCACTATTAATACTGTTTGATAATGTACCAGGCAACAAGCTACAGGACAAAAAAGCATGGATCTTTAAAAATCTAAATGAAAAGACTGGTTACATAGATCAAAAACCATCCAACTACAAACACACAAGCGCATTCAAGGTGGAATTTAGAACCTCTTCTGATCGAGACAAAGCAATTGAATCCTTAAAAGATAAAGAAATAGAATCCACACCATTTATTCCCTCCATACCCAATAAACAAAATGAAAGTAATACAGGAATTGTTGTCAAAGATATACTGCTAGGAACAATAATTAACGAAATTAAAATGCAGTATCTCAAATAGGAAAAATCAAAAATATTACAGTAAATGCCAAAGGAGGATGGCAAACAGCAAACATTAATTTTTATCA